GAATCAGTAGTGGTACACGCACCCACACAGAACTGCTGATACTGCTGCTGCTGTCTGCATCACCCTTCTTGTTGTTTGTGAGTTCAGGAGGAAGTGTTGGTGTTGTTGTTGTTGTTGTTGTTGTGGTGGTGGTGGTGGTTGAATCAACGTTGACATTCTCTTGTGAACCTTCTGTGCCAGTCGTACCTGCAGCTGCAGTAGTCTGATTGCTGGGATTACTGTCAACACCTTCATTTGCACTTTCCGATTGAGTTTGTGGGTTGGTGTTGTTGGAACCACCGTCTCCAGTTGAGTTTGTGCCTTCAGATGATGTCGTTGCCTCTCCTTCTGTTGTGTTTTGTTGTGTTCTTTGTGAGTCTACATTACCTGCTGTGGTTGACGTATTCCCTCGGGCTTCACTTCCCGCTGATACACTGTTACCACCTGTTTGCACATCAGATTGTTCAACATTACGTGATGCATCCTTTGAACGTTCCTTATCTTTATGTTGATGCCCTTCTTCTTGTTGAACTTGTGGTGGTTGTACTGGTTGTACTGGTTGTACTGGTTGTTGTGGCGGTTGTTGTTGTTGTAGCGCGTCTCGAGCCTCAACTGTTGTCTGTGGTGCTGGTTGTGATGCAGAAGGACAATTACCAGTTTCACCAGTAGTAGTACAAGTACCAGATGCAGAAGGAGCACCACCAGGAGGGCACCCAGAAGTTTCTTCAGTGCACTGAGCAACAGGAGTGCCTTGAAGAAGAATCTTCGTCTCACTCTCCGTATCAGGGACTTGGTCGGAAAGATCGGCGGCAGGCACTTCTTCAGCGAGGACGTGCACACACGCACATGAGAGCAGGAGAGCGAGGATACACAGCACGTGGCGCATCATTATTATTATTCCAATGGTTGCAGGTATTGTGGATATCGTTGCACCTGTCTTACTTCAATGGAATGCACAACAAAGAAGAAATGAGTACAGAGAGAAAAACAGAAACAAAGTGAATCAATGAAAACAAGAAGATGAGAACATATTACCAAATCAAACAACACTCAATAATTACAACAGAGGCACACACATTGCAGAAAACTGCAATCATAACTCAGACAATGGCCCAAATAAAGAAACAAAGCACACAGTAGCCATCACCAAGCACATAATCCCAATGAACCTCTCGAAGGAAAGTAAAGAAATTAAAGAGAAAGACCATCAGAAGTACAAAGCAAAAACATACATAACAGTGTGTCTCTTCTGGTCGAACCAAGCACAATTACACATATAGATGTATATTACTTATTATTTTCTCTCCGCACAAGTCAATCCAACACACCAAGGTGCAGAGCAAAACACAAAAAGAACTGGAAATTCAGAAGCAAAAAAAAAATTAAAAAATAGCCCAACTTAACGAGAAACGCAGAAATACACCAACTATGGGTGTAAGTCTATGTGTGTGTATATACGCAATTATAAATATAAGTTCATCTGTTATTATTATTCCTTTTCTTTTTCCCATTGCAAAAAGCAATTCAAAATTATTATCACAGTGCAAGCCCAGGTGCACACACAGAGAGAGTCTCCAACACACACACACACACACACACAATGGAGTAGTAGCAATAATAATAATTATAGGATAAACACAGAGAGAGCAAAAACAGACACAAAACACATTAACATTAAGAAACAAAAAAAGAACAAAAAATCCCAACAGGTGGAAGATTAGTTAGACTGTAGGAATGTATGCAAAAAAGAAAGAGAAAACAAAGGATGACCTGAGTCACATCACACCACCACCACACTCAATCAGCACACAAGAATACAGGCCAGTGTAACCACAATCAGTAGTGGTACACGCACCCACACAGAACTGCTGATACTGCTGCTGCTGTCTGCATCACCCTTTACATTTGGCATTATGGTGTTAT